ACCAACTAAATTGGGTAATTTCCTTCCATTTTAGAGCAATTCGTGTCGCAATTATTTATTCATTCTTGTATAAATAGCAGTTTAAGTAGGTTTTTATTTTCGTCTTTGCATTTATTTAGACATAGCTTTTGCCCGCGGATTCACCGCATGAAATTTAGTTTGTCACATATCGTCATAAATTATAGCCTATATGTTATTCAGGGTTATAAACAATAATACTGTAAAGTTTCAATAAAATCCGTTCAGCAGTTTTTGCGTGAAAGAGCAACAAACATCCACACAAACTTTCGCATTTATAATACATATTAGTAGGTACGATTTTTTATTTTCTGTTAAACATTTCAAAGAAACTCTGTATCTGTTTTCGTTTTGAACCAATTTCAATTAATTTTGGAGAGTATTGTTCGTTCGTTTCAGCCAAATGCTGGAAAAAGGCTCAAGGATTTTCACAAAGACCGGTCCTGCACCGCTCGCATCCAGGTACCTCCCGTGACCTTCACCAGATCGTCGGTCCACCTAGCGGGACGCCTGCCCACACTATGTCTTCTGGCTCGTGGTCGCCACTCGAGAACTTTTCTGCCCCAGCGGCCATCAGCTCTACGAGCTATGTGCCCCGCCCACTACCACTTGATTTGGAGAGTAGGTATACATACGACAAAACATTAAAACTAGACGCTGTGGCATATTAATAATATTAATACACATTATGTACTCGTAATAGGTTCGATCCACTCTTGTTACAGAGTTTTGGGCTGACACTGTGTAGGTTTGTTGTCGACACGACAAGAAGAAGAAGATTGGTTCGATTTAGCAACAAAAACATCTCCGGCAGAATGAAACTGTCTCAATTTAAATTGAAGTCCGCCTACCCTCTGAAATGTTACAAAATTTCCAATCCCACCTAAAATCCTTACCTTTTCCTTAAGTTACGGAGCCATTCTTTAAAGACAGGACGTTTCATTGCCTGAGATAAACGCGACAATAAATTGGCTCAATTATTACACCCGAATTAAAGGAGGGTAAGTTATACCCCCCTTTTTAAGGGGAAATCCACTGCAGAAGCTACGGAAAGTCATCAGTTTCCATCAGGTGAGATGCAGGCCAAGAACTTTCTTGCTATGGTTAAAAAAAGAAAAACTTACGGTCTTTGAATTCACAACGAATATAACGATGTTGAAGCGATTTATAAACGTATCAAAGTTCATTAAAATAGATATCAGGACATGTTTAACCTTGTTCTAGCAAACAGTTATAAAAGAAAGTAACTCTGTCTGTCTGTCTGTGTGGCTTTCACGCCTAAACCACTGAACCGATTTTGATTAAATTTAGCATAGAGATAGTTTGAGTCCCGGAAAAGGACTATAGGATAGTTTTTGAAACAGGGACGCTTGCGATAAAGTTTTTCTGTGACGGACAAAATTTCACGTGGGCGAAGCCGCGTGCGGAAAGCTAGTAAGTATTTGTATAGGCATCTGCGTCGTTTTAAATAAATAAACGAATTTTTATCGCTTCTAATCGCCTAGCTTTCTCTGTGTGAAGGCTTTAAACTACTTTTCTTAGCCAGTTTCGAGGAAACTGTCCGTTATTTAAGGTACCTGATTTACCTAAATCGAGTATTGAGTTTTAGATTAAGGTTGTTTTTAACTTCCAGTTACTTTAAATGTAAAGCTTTTTAGACCGAAACCTTATGAATCTAGGTACACAATACACATATAGGAATCTAGGTACATACTCGTAATATTATATTGTTGTATAATATACTCGTAATATTATACAACAATATAATATTACGAGTATGTATTACAAAATTCAATTTGGAAATAAACAATGAAAGTAAGATAAGTTTTATGTTTCGAGTACGAGTATAAAACGATTATATTAACGAGTATAAGAAAAACTAATTTCTATTAGGTACACTATTATTTTTCTTATGTCGGGATTCGAATCTGCAACAGTCAATCAACCGTGTTACAGATGAATGAAACAGTTAAATTGTACAAAACGTAATGGTACCTAATTACCTACTATGTGAGCTTTACCAATTTTAAAGAAGGAGAGCGAACTACAGATGTAGCTGCACTAGCTGTAGTGCCTAAGATTTTTTACCTTTGCTCTTTATTCTCATTAAGAATCACAAAAAATCGCTTACTATGAGAACTTAAACATAAGGGTATTCATAGAAAATCGTAGACGTTGATCATAAAAAAGTCACAACGTCAGGCGTTGATGTAGATTTCTGAACCTATTCAAAAACTTTAGGAAATATTCTAGATTTCACTTTTTGAAAGGAATATTATAGCAAGCCAAGCTAGTTTATAATAAATCAAAAACCACCAAAACCGAACCCTGCCAGTTGCCTGCCCGACAATTCGCTTGTTAATTTACTTCGGTTCGATTAGTGTTAAAGTCAAAGTTCGCTTGGAACTAACTTTCGGTATCACAGTTAAGTTTGGCTTGGTTAGTGTTCATAATAATGGGTCATAGAAGCTCTGCAGCCATTGAGGGTTCAGTATCCTCAATACGAGAGATAGTGGAAAGATCACCCACTCTCTCAAAATCAAAATGTATTTACAAACTTAATATTGCGAATCGAATCTTGAAATTTTATATTACAAGGAGCTTTTACAAGCTCATGCTTTTTTGGCTCTACTAGCGCTTTGAGATTGAAAGGCTCCACTCCATCGCTAATAATAGGTATATTTACCTCAATTTTTACGCTTTGACTTTTCATGGATATTGCTCGACTGAAAATCACAGTAAGTGATTTTTCTTTAAATAGTAGTTATTATTTCGCAACGAAAAAAGTATTAAATAATGTGATATGGAAGGTAAATATCTCCATTTTAAGTAATTTCTCTACAAGTGTCAATAAAATGAATTCATACTACGCATGTTAGCTGTATGAAAAATCATCAAAAAATATAAAAAGTACCTACCAAGTTCCATACATTTTAAGTTACATCACTCGATCGATCAAAACGATAAACGTAAAACGAAATGATGGATCACTCGAAAGTTCAACCAACCATCTACGCTCCGAACTGTACCTCTAGTAGGAAAAACTTTCGAGTTCGTTTCGTTGCGTATTCAAAGTGTCATCGAAAAATTTTGTATGAAAAATTAAACAGCGCCCCCTAGGGCGGCTATAATATAGGGGGCGCTGTTTAATTTTTCATACAAAATTTTTCGATGACACTTTGAATACGCAACGAAACGAACTCGAAAGTTTTTCCTACTAGAGGTACTGAAACGTTAATGTCAACACGAAATTAAACAACTTTCGTGTACACATTTTAATATTCCACGAAAGCCTTAATTTAAATTCAAATTTGTTAATAGCCTGTTCTAAAAATAATTTTAATCACAATAGCTGAGTTTTAATTGGAGATCAAAAAGCTTTCTTTTATGTATAAAAAGTTTTCAGAGATAATTAGTTTTAGCCGTCAAAACTATCGCCGACTATATTACTATTACGAAATCAAACCTATTAAACTTACCTAAGATTCTTTTGGGTTTTCCTGAATGCTCCAATGTCTCTACTATCTGCTAATTCTTGCTAAGATTTTATTGTACATATAATTGTTCAGTCTTTTTTTACCGAAAAACATGGCCTATCCATACCTACCCCCGGGGGATTGCAGGCTATGTGAGGTTCGAACCCATTAAAAACCTGGGGTGTTCTCTTTGCCACATAGTGGTTGACTGATGCCTTGGGCCACACTACCCACCACGCCCCTATTTATTGGGGGGCAAACAGGATTAGTCAGGACCATGTTTGTTTAGCCAAATTTTTATGACTAACACTTATTATGCACCATATTTTTAAAACAAAAAGTATTTATTATAATAATTACTAATTACCAGACTTTCCACTTTGTTCAGTGTGTAAATCAGATTAAAAGTAGGGCCAGTAAATTAAACGTAAACAAAGGTGTTAATTATAATTATTATAACGTTGCGTGTCTCACACAATACATATTAAAGAATTTGTCTAAGCCTCTGGCACAAATTATTAAAATCATTTGCTGACTAAAGTACCATAGTAATAATTTTGCCTTTCTGCTTGATAACAATCACTACTAAAACTGAAAATTATTGATTTGTAGAAATGGCAACTTTTGATGCCATTAACCATTTTTGGTGTCCATAAAAAATCTACAGTCTCCTCCATACATCACGACAGATGACTCAATCTACTATTGAAATTCCTCAATCAGGTCAGTGGAGCAAACGGAAAAAGCACAGAAAATGCTTAAAATATACTTTTCTATGTCTCCCACATCGTGAGCCTGTCAAAGAATCGTAAATGACGACAAATTATTGTGTTTTTTTTAATATTAAATTTTGGTGTTTAATACATTTAATTATTACATGAAAATATAATTACCTAGGTTTTTTTTTTTCGAATCACACCGAAGTATTGCAATGACACAAAATGAAAGTGACTCATGCCCGTTTTCACCATCAATGCCTAATTTTTAAGTGACCCCTATGGTAACACTTATCATGAATTTTGCTGACAAAGGGGTCACTTAAAAATTAGGGATGGATAGTGAAAACGGGAATCAGCTACGTAGATAGGTATGCCGATGTTTAATTTAAATACTAACCTATTAGTCTTTTGTAATATTATTATGTAAAAGATACGACTGTCAAAGTACCTACTGCTACCCACTTGGTTTCAAATTCGACTAGTGCTTTTGCAAGTCCACTTGCCACTTAGTATGAATGAATATGTATGGAGGTTTCTATGTTCTTCTTTTGCGAGGCCTGAATCAATCTGGCCTCGCTCAGCATTCGACAGAGGTTTTACATTTTAAATAGAACAAGAACACACACTGTAGTACAAAGCGAAAACTTCCACATCCTCAAAAAATAGTAAAAAATGGCTCTGAGCCTGACGCGACGAATAGGGTTCCACGAAATGAATCAAAATTTAGTTTTTGTATGTCTCTAAGTTTCAAATGCATAGTTAGGTACTTTAAAAATGCAACAGTAACTTTGCTAGTACAGGGTGGGCCATGAATTAGTTAACATTTGAAAAAATCGTATAAAAAAAACCATTTAACATATTTTAGAAATCGTTTATTTACGAGAAAGCTAATTAGTTGTAATTTATTTTTTTTAAATTATTTCGTCTAAATGACCACCGTTTCGGTTTTTGCACTCATCTAAGCGAGTCCTGAAGTTTTCAAATACTCTTCTGCAAAGAGACCGCGAGATCGCCGACATCTCTTCGATGATTTTTTCTTTAAGTTGACGCAGTGTATTCGGTTTATCAATGTAGACACGACTCTTTAAATAACCCCATAAAAATAAGTCTGCTGGGGATAGATCTGGACTTCTGGGTGGCCATGGGATGTCACCACGTCTGGATATCAGCTTTTCCGGAAACATGTCTTTGACCACCGGCAAGGACTCGTTCGATGTGTGACACGTGGCTCCATCTTGTTGAAACCACGTGTTACGATTATAGCCAGCAAATTCCAGTAGCATCGGTGCTAAGAACTCCCGTAACATTTTCACATACTCGGCAGAATTAACAGTAACTGAACGGCCTCGAGAATCTTCAAAAAAGTAAGGTCCGATGATTCCTTTTGCTGAAATTGCAGCCCATACAGTTACCTTAGGAGAGTGAAGTGGCCTCTCATGTTTAGCTTTAGGATTTTCGCTGCTCCAATACCTGCAATTCTGTTTGTTTACATGTCCATTTAGGTGGAAATGGGCTTCGTCAGAGAATAAAATGTTGTCAAAATTACTGAATCGAGTTAACATTGTTTCGGCATATGACTTACGCAAATTTAAATCATTAGGCTTTAGTTCTTGCACTAGCTGGATCTTATATGGATGTAATTTCAAATCTAATTTCAAAATACGGCGTAATGATGTGCGGGATAATCCTAATTCAGCCGAACGTTTGCGTGTCGATAAACCTGGATCACGTCGAACAGAAGCGGAAACTTGCTGCACGTTCTCTTCGCTCCGAGAAGTCCGCGGGCCGCCGGTTTGTTTCACATTTAGTGTAGATCCCGTCTCTTCGAACTTTTTCACCCATTTCTTTATTAAAGGAGCACTTGGACACTGACTTAAGTCATGTAAATCATATTCAACGCGAAATAAGCGTCTCACAGTAATGAGCGAAAAGTTGTTTAAATAAAACTGTTTCACGCAGTAAGCGCGTTGCGGCCCCGTGAAGCGATCCATTGCGACTAAATTTCCAAGTAGCGAGCTAGTACCCCTGTCCGCGCCCGCGCCCCGCGCGGCAATAGTTTGCGCGGTAAGTTACATTTAAATGTTAACGAATTCTTGGCCCACCCTGTATTACCAAATAAAAACACGTGCTCCCCAGCATCACATAACTCCTTCATGTGATTGTGTATGGGATGGCTTTTCCACACACTCGAGTCATGGGCTGACTCATGGCTGCTTGCATCCACACACAGGATATTCAGTTCAGAATTACATATCTACAAGTAATTGGTAAATTAGAATGTAGTTTTAAATTAAATTAAATGTTTATTGGTATAGTAATATAACTTTATAACATTAAGGGAATGGTATCCCTTTCTGTTACAATATCTTTCATCGTGGATAACCAGACTCAGGATGGCCACATGAGTGCCGTCAATGCAGCCCAACACTCTGGGAATCCCGAATCTATAAAACCTATAACATCAAGTATAAAGTAAGAAGTACATCTTTCAAACACCAATAAATACATGTAAATCTTCATAGAAGAAGTCTACTTACTTTGCCTTGATTTTGTTCCTGTCTTGCCTTTGCATGGGCCAGACAACATATCTTTTAAATATGTCAGGCTTATTGAGTGCCTCAGTCACTTGTCTCACAGCCCTTGAGACAGTGGTCTGTTCCATTTTACGCAACTGGGTCATAACAGACTCTGGTATGACCCAGTTGCGTAAAAACTGAGTGCAATAAGTATCTGCAATCGAAGTTTTATATTAGACAAACGTCGAATATTTGAATATTTATATGTTATTTAAATATACCCACTTATTACGTGGCCTTAAAAAAAATTTGTGTAGCATTTTACTAACCTTCAAATTAGAGGATATCGCATCAGTGGTGGACTATTTCTGATTTTGTGTGCTGCCTCGCCAATGTGCCACTATGTCCATTATTTATAAGTTCGCATTTGACACAACCTGAAACAATGTAGCTATACACTCCAAATAACCTTTGAAGTTAAACAATTGTTTAAACTTGCTTTATTCTCAGTTTATTAATAAGGCTGCATTTTTCAGCCAGACGGTTAGTGTTCTTTTACTGAGCAAATTGAATATTTTTTGTAGCAGGGTGTCCACATTCTGGAAAGTCAGGGAAAATCAGGGAAAAGTCAGGGAAGCTCATAGCAGTCAGGGAAAGTCAGTGAAATAGAGGGGTCACCTGGAAAGTCAGGGAAACATTGAGATTTTGTCTACCAAAACACTGTTTGTCTCCCGAAATTTCCTAGTGTTTGTAAAATGAGGGATTTAATTAATTTATGCTCTAGAAAGACCTTTGATCTTGACTATCGAAGTATATTTTTTTTCAGGTTTGGAGTGATCTACATTGTGACTTTGTTTTTAGTCATAATTATATTACTCCTTTTTAGTTTTTTATCTAATTGATTGACTTCATCATCAGGACCCTGGACATCATCTAGCACTAAAGTGCTCGAAAAGACAAGTCCAACGAACCCAAACTAGATGCAATTCCGCCGTTTCGTTAAGAGTTCCTATCTCAATGTCTCTCTGACTCTCGACTCCATCCAGCTTAATGGTGCCATAATATTGCATTGTCATCGTACTTACACAAGTATACCAAATTTCAGCTCAATTGGTTAAGGAGAACTGGTTTTAAATTCAGTTGTAAGATTTATCCCATACTAACTAACAATCGAAGTGCTTGTAAAAATGGTACGCATATCTTTTTTGCGACTAGGTTTCTTAGAGTATTATACCATTTTGGAATCTTGGATAGTTGCGTCAACTTTATAAAAAACTTGCCGCAGTAGTGTTCATTTTTTTTTTTTCAAAACGATGAGTCAAAGTGGAGTGAAAGTAAAAATCGTTAAAAATTTTAAGGAAATAACATATTTTGATTAACTTTTGTGTAAAAACAGCACTACTTAAGTTGCCGATATAAACAGAAAACCAGGAATAATTGAAAAATTGTGGTCGTGGTAATGTAAAATATCATAAGGGGTGTCAATTTTCATCGAATTTCATAATTTATTGTGTAAGTTAAAAAATAATTGAGATAGATTTTTTTCCTTATTTTTCCTAAAGTAGTCATGACTATGTCCATCCTGTGGCGTCGGCTTATCCTTGAATTTTGGGACACGTTGTATACATAGTTGGTCAGGGAATTTAGAAAAAATTGTCAGGGAAAGTCAGGGAAAAGTCAGGGAATTTTTTCGAACATTTGCAGTGGACACCCTGTTGTAGCAACCTATATCCTTTCGGGCTTTCCTTCATTAGGGTCAAAGCTAAATGCTTTTCACAGGTAGTGCCTTCTTCTTTTTGTTTGCAATTTTTAATTGCATGAATAGAAAATGTTGGGGTGGGTTATTGTGACAATTTTTTTATTAAACAATCGGCTGCAGCTTAGAATCTTAACCTTTGGTGCAGTCACTGTATCCAATAAAAATCAACTGACGAGATTTGGGATCTAATTTCTGACGTTTTTCCTTTGGTATATGTACCATTGCTCGGCATCCAAATATTTTCAGATGGCTGAGGTCAGGCTTGCATCCAGTCCAACGCTCTTCAGGAGTGACATGTGGCAGTGATCGATTTGGCGAACGGTTGACGATGTAGGCGGCAGTTGCTATGGCTTCTGCCCAATACTAATTTTATAATATTTACAGAATTTCTCTCTTTCTTGAACAGAAAAAAGCTTTGAGTGGAAGGAGTTCAGCAGATATCTGGACGCCTCATTAATCCTCTCAGACTTATCTTTTTTCTGCCAATCCTTATTTTTGGAATCTATCACCTCGGATGTTTTTATGTATGGAACCATTATCACATCCAGGCACATACTTGGTGTCTGGCCACCATTGGGAATTCAGCATGAATCATAGCTAATTCTGAGTACTCAACAGCCATTGGCAATTGTGTCGTATGCAGGAAATTGAGAACAATGTCTGGAAAGCAGGCTATCATTCTAGAGAGTGTAATGGCATCATAATCTCCTGAGACTGCCTTCTTAACCCGAAGATTAGTACAGGCAGAATTAAACTTTTTGGTCATATCTTTGCATTTCATAGTGGTTTTAATCCTGTCTATGTTGTTTCCCCTAACTAGCCCAACTAAGCACAAGATAGTTATATCATCCAAAGATGCCTTTTTGAGAATCTTTGCTCTCATAATTTCTGCATTAAAGCCAGCAAAGGCAATTGAGTGATTGACCCAATCTGTCAATGATTCTCCATGTGTCTGGATGAATTCTAATATTTTCTCATGCATGTTAGTCGTGCCTGCTAATTTAAGATCATTTAGATCCTTTTGGATGTTGAGCATTCTGGTTTCTGAGTCCACCATTTTTTCTGTTGGAGATTGTATGGGTGAGAAGAAATCGTCAGCACTAATTTTAAGCTCCACACTCTTATTTGAGGAAGAGGTTGATGGAGAGCTATTAAGAGTTCTGCGATGGAGTTTCTGTGCCAATTTTCTGCTTCTTCTACTACTTACTGTGCTGTCAGAGGTATTTACAGATTTGAAGCTTTTCTCAGACATCCAATATATTTATCATTAATAAAATAGTAAATAAGTAAAATAATAATAAAATAGTAATAATGATGCGTATTTCTCATATCGAAAACTTTATAGATGATCATTTCAATTATCTTCCTATATCTTTTACCGTACTGACAAATGCAATGTGCTCCATTTTGTAGATCCTGCTTCTGATTGTGTTGGTATGGTGATTGTCGTAACAATCACCTTGCTTCAGTCTATTTATCACAATTTCAGTTGTGGGAGAGTAATTTGAGACCCTTCGATGGCCATTATTAGTTGGGCAAACTCGCTAGGTAATCCTGCTAACTCTTCATCATCTATCAAGCTACCAATTTCAGAGAGTTGTACATAAATTTTACGTGCGATGTATTTTTCCAATGAAGGAAATGCTTCAAGTGCTTCATATTGAATTTTCTATAAATCCCATTTCAGAGCCAATCGACGGCTTATGGATTTATTTGATTTCATAAGGTTGTTCTAAATCTTCAATACATCTTTGGTAATTTTCACGTGTTTTACATATGGATAGGGCATGGAATACCGGAATAAGTTTTATACCGGTATTGAAATTTCAATCACGGGTATTATCAAAATTTCGGTATTTTTCGGTATTTCTTGAAATACTGCTAGTTACTGTTTAAATGACTCCAAGAACGATTAGTAAGTCTCGTTTGCGAAAAGTTAAGAAGTTTTATACGCTATATAGCAGAAACACTCAAACTATTTATCGACTCCCTAGAAACCACAAAATGAGTTATTAAAGTAATAGGTTATTAAGAATACTGAAGAAAATACGTTCTTTGATCCAAGAATAAATTTTCGTTTTTATGCAGGGTCATTTCAATGCGAATTAATGTTTTAAAATATTTGTCTTCCTCTCCGATCTCATCGATCTGGGGTCTGTTTTGCTTTTTGGTCATAGATTTTCTGGCTTATACTGTTTTCAAGAAATACTGCATCTCTAATCATCACAACTTGTTTACTTTTCTTGTCAATGAAGCGTTAACAAAATTTGCCGATGAAAAGTCTTGTTTTCATCGGCAATTTTTCTCATTTTTTTTTATAAAGCGCCTGGTGTAGTTTGCGAATCCACACTGCGAATCACATCAATCTGTATGTTATAATGTGATGTTTTTTTTTCACACTTGCTTGTTGATGGTATTTCATTTGATTCAAAGACATTGAATGTAGTGATATTATTGGAAAATTGCCGGGACAAAATAAAAATTGATTTAGAAAAATAACAATTTATTGTTTATCCACTAAACACCAAAAAAAAAGAATTTATTTAGAGGGGTGGGTCGTTGGGCCGTTTGGCTGGTACCAAACACTTAAAATAAATTTAAAATTAACGCGCTGTCTACTTCACCACACCGCTCGGCTCAACCCCCTTCACACCCGTTGGCTGTAGCAAATGTCCGGCACAGCAAATCAGCCGGTGCCAAACTCCTCCTTCAACGGAGGAAAAATCCGGCGACAGCAGCTAATACAGCAGGACACAGCGCAGAGGCTCGCCACCGAGCACTGCCCAACCAAAATTTAAGTAAGTGTGGGCCCAAGTGTAGCACGTGGCAGTGAGTCCACGAAATTACGGTGTTTTCGGTTTTTTTTCCGAAATTTTCTTTTCTCTGTTGAGAATTATGCGTGCCCTGTCCGTTTTCTTGGGAATGGCACAGTCAAGACTGCAATGAAACTTAATGTAAATTAA